CCCTAATGAGCTCATATTGTTTGAGTTTGAAAGATTGGAAATAAAAGCCTCGACTCCAACCGCTTTTTGACTTAAACTGAATTTGGAATTGAGAAATATGACTTCGCAGGTAGACAACTCTATTCATCACTACCGTAACTATATTCATTTTATTGCCTGAAACCACACTACAACATGCTGATAATCCGCCCCAAACCATTGTATTCGGTGGTTTTTAAAGCATGACCGCTAGATTAAAATGGACTATATTGCTAGCGAATTAGTATTGAACGTTATTGAAGCTGAACTATCAATTGAGAGCAATTTGAGTTCACAGAAATGGTAGTTTCTTCTGCATCCCCTTTACAGAGGCTTTACGTGTTGCGTCATAAAGTTATTGAAGAGTTTTTTGACCTCTCAGTTACTAAATCATCAAAAGTGAGGTGACCTTGTGCTTTGGCCTTCGACATCACAAACAGTAGTTCCGCGCACGAGCGTTTGCAAATACGCGAAGAGCGATTGGGAGTGATGTACTTCTGTAAATATGTTTGAGCACATGGCGTGGGACCCTTTTTAGAAGACTTCCATACGTTCTTCTGATAAAGGGAGCGTGTGCCCAGTGGCCTGAGCGATCACTTAAAGTCAGGCAGCTCGATGCATTGAATGTTGAAGAATGGGGAATTTGTTTACTATAAAAGGAGGCATAGCATCTCAGAGACCGAACCGTAGCGCTTCCTTTTGATTAAAGGACGCGATGTGCACGGTGCTTTATCACTTAAAGGCAGCAGCGCGATTACTTTGAATGACGACAGAAGGGGAGTTGGTCACTATAAATAGAGCATAGCATCTAATGAGACCGAAACGTAGCGCTTCTCCGGCGAAGAGCGCCTCCCGAAGAGCTGCGCTGCCCTCACTTCTCTTTTGATTGTATGCTCAATCTTCTAGGCCTAATGCCAGCCAAGTCCCAAAGAAGACCACCTTGACGACCTTCGGCGTTTGCTGCTTACGATCTTGGGGACATATCTCGATGGTTCGTAGTGTGGTTTGCTGCATACGACTTCGGGGCTTGCTGCATGCGGGCCCTCGTCTCTCGCCTTCGAACTAAAGCCGTCCAGCGGAGAGGCGGAGCAGAGCGTTCACGTTGATGATTCTGCCATCGTTGGGATCTATCCAGAGCAGAAATCGACGGGGAAACAACGGGCTCGTTTTGCAGGTTCTAGGCCGTTTCCTTTGGTTTGTTCTTTTTTGCAGCACCTAGTGCTATCTTCGTTCAAACGGGTGGACGATTGACTGTAATGTACCATCTGCTTGAACTGAGTGGCCACAGGTGAGTGTACTTCTTCAGTAAAATTTATGATGTATGGTATAAAAGGCAGCTTGACTAATAGTCTTTTTCCGTACGTGCCCACGCATTCAAAAGGCGTACGAATAGGAAAGGCGAGTGGATACACAGCAAGATACAAAGCTTTTTGTGTTGAATTTTCCAACCTTTAGTCTTCCAAAACTTTGCAACGGTGAACGTGGAGGTGTATTGATGCAGCAAACTGTGGGCGGGTTGGATTCTCTGACCACAAACTAGCATTGTTTACTCCTTTCTATTTACGAGTCATACGAAACGTATTTACCTTACGGATTTGTGGGTGAGTAATGTCTTAACCAATGAGTGTTTCGCGAGGTCTGAGATTCTAAGAAATAAAATTACGGTTCCAATCGTAGCGCTCTGAACAGCTCATCCATGACCGTCGCCTTCCCTGATCTTTTCACTGCAATAATAATAATGATAATTTACTCGAGACGGCGGTTTTCAAGGTATTGGCATTAGGTATTCTAGAAAATTACCGCTTCAAAAGGTGGTTTTCAGCCTCTCAAGGGCAGCACACAGCGCTGATCAATTTTATTGTGAAACCCAGGCGCTTGAGCTTCAATCAAGCGCTTAAATTCTGATCAGGCAAAGGCCTCCATCCGAAGGATCCAGTGAGAGCTTATTGTTTTTCTTTGTTTGCTGCCTAACTGATTTTGGGAATATGAAAACTTTAGGTTGCCTAACTTTTTGGTCTAGCAAAAAATGAACTTTATAAAAAATAATATTAGAACTAATTATGAAAAACAATAAAAACAATATTAATATACACCAACGAGAGGAAATCGGCTTAGCTAAAAATTTGGGTTTTCATCATCTGATCCGTATCCAGCGGTCCACTCAAGGTGACCTTTTTCTCCAAGTTACTGTCAGTAATCGTTTACCATCCACAGGGTATAGTAAGTCAGTTAATAGTTTCTGCTGCGATTTTCTCTTTGAGATCTTGGGTGTGTTGCTGCTTATAAACAATCAATAATTAGCACAAAAATTTATTTATTTTATGAAATAATATAATGTAATCCACTTTGGCATAGAGATCACGAAGTCGTCCTTAATATGGAAGACGTCAAGTCTGTAAGGGTGGAGATGTTGATTCGAACCATTTGATCCGCCTCCACAGTATCGATTGGTGGCATAAATATGGGAAATCACGAAGTCATCTCTGAGCTGTTGAGTTCTGTCAACCAATCGGATAGCAAAGATTTGCCTTTCGCATTTCGAATCCGATCCTGGCCAGTGCACCGTTCACGCAGACGACAGACCCTGTCCTGTCGGACTGGTAGAATATTCAAAATTCGGCTTTTATATCGATCAGGTCTGTTCATATCTCCAACGGTTTCTTTTTACGGAAGATTAAAAAGTTTTCTCAGCATCCACAACTCTTTGGAATTGCGCCATGAATTCCGAAGCGTTCAGGACGACAGCTGCATTGGAATGCGTAGTGGTACAGCATGCGGCGATCTTCCAATATAGGACTAATGGAGAATCAAGAGGTTAGAAAGAGGTCTTAAACACAGAAGTTCGATTCCCGAAGGCTGGTGAAAGGCGAATAGCGTTGGGCCGCCGCTGGATGTCGCCTCTCCCAGTCTTTTATACGGTCAGAATCAGTTTTTCAGACCTTCTACCGGCACGATCGTCACTACCTCAACATTTTGGCTTTTTCCATAAGATTTCTTTCTCAAAGGCTTCCGCTTACCTCGGTCGGACAACAATTCAATGAGGTTGCACAACCGTATCCAACGGGGCATTCAGAGTCACTTCCCGAAGGGCAGGTGCCTGAAATTAACAAGCAGTCATTCACATGAAGCTGTTGAGGCTCCAGTGGTCTTACCTGCACTGACTCCAACCGCACATCGACAACAGATATTTCCGGCCACACAAATGTGTCCACTCGGACAAAGGCCGCTTCCTGCGCAGGAACCACCGGCAGGTTCGCTGCCACCACACAACAGTACTGAAGTGGGAAGCATTTGCGACAATATTTTTGAACAGTTACTGTCCTACACGACAGCGACGGAACAATGCCTCATTTTTGTCGTGGCTCGGATTTAATTAAGTAGAGATAGTGAGAAAATGGGTGTCCCAACAGGCCCACCGCGCGGCGAAGCAAGAGACGCAGACGCGGCAAAGGACGAGTCGCAGCGCATACTGTAGCGTTAGGCGTCAGGTTAAAGAGAGTGTACCATACTACGTCTCATATCGCACAGCACGCGCTGCAACTCGTCTCTTTGCCGCATCTGCGTCTCTCTTGCTTCGCCGCGCGGTGGGCCTGTTGGGGGACACCCGAAAAAACCTCCTATAGCATAGTTACACGCAGATAGTCGACGAAATCAACAGCTCGAAGTTTTGGTGTGACGACGTCTACAAAGGTCTTGCGGTATTCCCTCCCCTTAGGAGCCCGTCGCGCGGCAAGAAGGCAAAGTCAGCGGACGAGTCGCGCGCGTACTATAGGGATTTCGCGTCAAGTTAAATAGAGTGTCCCACTGCACGTCCTACATCGCACACCACGCGCTGCAACTCGTCCGCCGACTCTGCCTTCTTGCCGCGCGACGGCCTCCTGGAGGGTACCCAAACATTTTGGCCACGCCTATATCTATAAGCCCCACGCCCCGTATCTTGTTGTCAGACAGGCAGTGAGATAATGGGCATTATGCCACCCGGGAAAAAGTGAAAAATGTCAATTAACACTCTGGCGCCAGTCCAGATGATTCAGATAGAGTTAGATGTAAGCAACGAACAGACTCATAAAGACGTTCTGATGGTTCAGTTAGGGGCGGAACGACGCTCACAAACCTTAATACTGTCACTTTGGAATTGTTTTTGAGATTGAGTTATAACTAAGCCACACTCTTTTTGGAAAAAAAATCTCATTGTCGATATTCATCAGCTACATTTTTGAATAATGTAAAATGCGAGGCGGGGCATATAAAATGATACAAATTGAGAGGAAATAATTATCGATTAGTTCTAACCTCCATTGCTGAGTGTACCGGTAAATGCTGCTGGCACTGGGCTCCGTCGAATACCGTTCGAAATAACAACTGGACCAGGTCCAACCTGAAATGGAATATTACTCCAATTGAAGGAAGAGTTACGATTGCACCGCGGGACGGAACAATATGTATGCACCACCAGAACATTTATTTTATTCCCACTGTATGGGTTCTTCTTTCAGTAACGGGTAATGCATGGATTTTGGCAAAGGGTGACTGGGAGGCGTTTGGCCAGATAAAGCCAAAGATAGATCCGCCAATTGCTAGGCAGGAATACTTGCGACAAGGGAGCGCATACAGCCACAGAGGTGAGGCAGAATGCCTTGCTATGGCACAGTGCGCGTCGCGCTACACAGATTGGTTGCCGAGAGGTTAGGCGCGGACGCTGGCGCTACCTTCAATCAGGCAGACCCATGGCCCGCTGATGATTCAAGTCCTTCTCCACTGGAACTCATTCTGTTGTGGTGGCTCTGCTCAAACACACGTTGGTATTTTATCCAGAGGAGGATGACTGCACATTTTTTTTCAGGTGAGCACAAGAGGATAGATGAAAGTGACAACGTGAGGATGAGGATTGCCACAGCAACTTCTCTATACACTGGTCTTTCCTACTGACCTCAGTCGACGTGCAACATTCCGAACTGACCTGGGTAAGTGGATTCGTGTTAATGTAGTTGTTGAAGCCGTTTTAAGACGTTGTTTGCGTAAGGATTGTAGTAGCCGTTGTTGAATCCAGAGTAAGCCACAGATGAACCGAATGTTGGCCAGCTGTTCAGAGAGTTCACACCACCGCAGCAGGTGTTTGCACATGAGTTGTACTGACTGCCGCCGACAATCGGGGGCGATGTATGCCTTAAAAAGGTGTACACCAAAAGCGATGGTATTAGCAAGTGTGTTTTTGGCGATTAGACCTGATAAGGTACTTCTCCTGGGGATGCGCTGTGCGCACAACCTCCACTCAATTTACGGGTATTTGTGGTATCTGGGCGCATCTTTGCTCCAGCGACCTGATACCACAACTACTCGGAAACTACCCGAACTTCCTGCGACTGTGCGAGACTAACAGTAGGGAGAAGAGAGAAGAGCGGTATTTGCCTCCCCACAAGGCTGAGCGAATTACAGCTCTTCGAGTGGTTACAGTATCTTCATGGAACAAGTCTTCAGTCGCTTACCTCACCACATAGGACCTTACCTCACCATATAGGACTTTGCTACTGTGAAGACCCGGTTAGTGTCGACTTGTTGCGTGAGGAGCGTTAACTGACCTATTATACTGCCCGTTGAACTGGTTACAGTTTATGTTATTGCAAGATGTTTGACAGTTGGAGTTTGAAGAATAGTAGGAGTTCGGTAACACGAACGAGTTGCCAATTCCACAATTCGAACCGCAACCGCGTTTTGAGCTACCGATCCTGAAATAGTTGAAAGGTGTGGAATAATAGGTGTGAAAGATCATTTCGAAGCTTTACTTTCACGATGACCAGTATTTAATTATAGTAAGTTATATACCCCTATAGCAATCAAGCAGTGCCGGTTTCGTCGCTAAGACGTGTGATGGTGGATAAGGGCTTTCAAATAGCATACCTGCCCATTTACTAGCCACCACCCTTTTTGTGTTAGCTCGATGCAGCGCAGGAAATTGAAATATGTAGAGAACACATATATTGCAATGTAAAGACTACATGCATTATAATGACACGGGCAAGCATGTGCTTGAGCCAGAAAACTTGTGCCTTCCAATTGTTGCCAAAATTACGCGAATAAGTTAGCGAACCACCTCTACGTAGTCTCCTCCTTCGAAAATTTAACTTCGTTTAATAGTGACCATTCTTACTTAGGTTTCCAACTTTTTTCATATACGCCGTTTTCATAGTAGCAATATCATATTCGCTGCCGCCACTAGAACTATCAGATAGAGGACCTCTTTGGAGATCCGAGAGGGCTCGTTCTACTGCTTAGAAGTTACGTCTGATCACGGATGTTTCCAATTTCGCTGGAAACTAACCGTTTGATGAACCACCGCATAGGTAGTAGCCAAGCGATTGACGTTTCGATCTTGAAATTCCTTCGACTGCAGCGGCACTCAAAGCCAGTAGAAGCACATTTATGAACATGGACATCTGAAATGACTAAAATGGGTTCCTATAAAATGTGCTGCAACAGATGTCATATTCCACAACCAACGTATGCGTTCATTCAGCTTGTAATCCAAGGCGTAGGTGCAAGAAGCACAGTCAGTAGAGAAGAACGCAAGAATCAACCAGAAAAATTATCTTCGAGCATTCTTTTTATAAGGTGAGCAAACCTAAATTGAGTAAACACTGGGCGCCGAGGAGAGAAAACCGACGATGAAGCAAAAACAGGACGAAGACATTCCTTCGAGTCATGACATTGTGAATAACTGCTGCAGCAGTTTCCGGCTCAAGTGACAAGGTCTTAGATTAGTTTCCTCACAGCCCACGTTCTAGCTGCGGAAAGGGAATTAAGACCTCGCAACTGTGCTAAAACTCATAAAACTCACCTATGTGGACACGATAACAAGACGTTCACACTTGCGAGGAGGTAGAAAAAACTGTATGTATGTAGGGGAAAATTAGCAGTCGTTAGTGAAGTAACATAAGAAATTGTTCCTGGTAATGTGAGTGAAAAGGCAAAGCAACAAGTCGCCACGGAATCGATCCCACGACCTCTTGCCTGTGAAGCCGGGCACTTCCGCTGCCCATTTTGCTTCATAGGCTTTTTGAATGTCCGGTGGGCGAAGTTGGGAA